AACTTTGAAGAAAAATAATTTTCGAAATTACTTAATTGTTTTACTCCATATTCGTATGCTTGTAGTTCGCATTTCTGAACTTTTTCATACAATTGATTATTAATCTTGCATTCACATACAAAATTAATATTTAATCTATGCATTAAACTTAAAAGAAATCTTTTCATGTATATTATAAAATTTATACTTAAATTAATATTTTGAATAATATTCGTAAGTTTTTTTCTATAATCTGTGGTAAAAAATAGTTTATGCGAGAGTTTTGACTTGTTATTGCATTATCTATTCCATATATCTTTCACGATTTAAATAATTTTTAAGATATCAAACAAAAATTTATATGAAGATGTTTGGAAATCCTTGAAATATTAAATCCATTAGAAATTGGAAAACTGTTATCGATTCTGGGCTAGAAAATGATACTCGAAGAATGGTCAGATGGTGTATAGTATATTATGGAAGTCAAGCCCAGCTGTTGGGAATTATTGTGACCCGGATCGCGGAGGCGGTGTTGACCCAGAGATGCCGGGAAGAGCGGGCGCCGGGTCGATGGCGGTGCGCATGGGCAGGGCCCAGTGTGGATGATGCCGGCCCAGCTCCTGGCTCCAGCCCTAGTACTTCTTGTACAGCTCCGTCCTCTGGTATCAGGTTTGCCAGCAACAATAACAATAATTATTCTCTTATTGTATCCTTTCTTGGAGGATGGATCGTTAAAAGTCATTGCCTGTTGCATAACATGTCTTATCATGGTTGTACTTCGCACTGTGGCAAAGCCAAGGCACGTTTGCTAGTATATTTATAACCAGAGATAGATCCATGAATTATCTTTAGGGGAGGATGAAAAAAGAAAAATAATTGCAATGTTATTTGTTTGATTTATGTTACATAGAGATGTTAGGCATATATTTATATGAAACATATATTACAATTAGTAACATTTGTAAACTGTTTTCCAGATCATTCTACATGTTTCCATTTAGGAGAAATAACTTTCAAAATATAAAACTACGTACTTCATTATGAAACAAACACCCCCTCCTTCCCCTTACTCTTCTGGATCCGTCATTGTCTACATAACAGCCATTAACAATAGAACAACCTCATTCATCCATATGTCTACATTCATTAGCTTATGGATGCTCTTACAATATGTATAATGATTTCAATTTCATCCTTTAAATAGGCTTAACCGTTTGACTAAAACAAATCTAGAACGATTTTATATTAAAAACGTTCATCAATAGAGAAATGACCAACTCAACACTCACTATTCATTTTGAGGAAACATTAAGTTGGTTAATAGAAATATCATTTCTCTTAACACAGTACAAATAATATTTTAAATGGTTAACCCAAAGTCATAACATTGGATCATTTCCTTTTCAACCTTTGTGATATAAGTTAGCTGTTTTCTTCAACGCTCAACGCCATTGTACCCTGCAGTCAGGTTAAGTTTAAACCACACGGTCATTTGCTAATAATTTATATCTTTACAAACAAAAATAAAACGATAGGTTTGAATAATTTCAAATGTTTTTAATCACGGAGTTTTTCACGAATATAAAACTAAAAGAATTTCTTCACTTCTTTTTCATTGCTTTTTGTTTAAATATTCGAATACACAATGATTGTTTTACTGAAAACATTTATTTTTATTTCATTTTTTTTTATTTAAAATACAAATTAATTCAAGTATCGAGTATAACATTCGTATAAGATTCGGAGTCCTAATTAAAAAAAATGGTGGCACTAATTTTTTGAACCCTGATTACGTGTTGCAGGTGAGCTGAACAAGAATGCCCACAGGACCTCTGGAGCTTACAGTTTCAAAAGCGATCTTTTCTGCTATTACTGCGACACTTCAGTCGATGGACCAGGTTGTCATAACCTGAGCATCCATGCCAATCGCTCCAGTCTCGTCAGGAAGTGTGGGGATGAAATGAAAATTTGTATAGTGAGTATTAAAAAGGCTCTCAAAATACAAAGAACCATTCTTACTGGATCATTTTTGGAATAATCTTTTAGTCTCTCAAATAGACTTTAGTTCCCTTCAATAAGGTGTAATAATTTACTTGTCAGTGTTTGCTAATTCATTCATCATAACTACTAAATACCTCATTATCAAATTGATGCAAACTAGAACTTGTATATTGTATAAAATACATTATTGTTATTTCCCCTTACCACTTGGCTGCACTAGCGGATACAGGATTTAATTTTCCTGGAGGGCTTCAAGCTGAAACTTTTTTTTTTTTCATATATATAACGATAATTAATTTGGAAAAAAAGAAAGAAACTAACTACCTGTATGACATGATGTTTAAGTGATTCTTGAAGTCCTATTAAATGTAATTACACGAACAATAATACTTTAAGAAATAGTTTTTAATATTTTTTTCTGTAAAACATAGTTATATTTTCCATTTAGAGAAAGGCTTCAGCAGAAAGCCTCCCTCTCCCCCTGTAGATCCCCCTGTGCTTGGCTGGAATACTTTTTTTCTTAATAAACATGTGTACAATCTTTTTATTGATTATTTTGCACAAATTACTACTTATTGTTCAAACTATGTGATTATTTCTATTTTAAAAGTGTCAATTACAGTTGTCAGAGCCCCCAATACACTAACAGTCGGATAACTTAAAAACTCTTAATTGCTGGTTGACCTTGTATGCTGTTCACATTACCTCCTTTTATTTGAACATACAACTTTAATGTTCATAGTGGTTTAAAGTTGGATGTATCACTAGCATTTCTCTGGAACTATTTTTCTCATTATTTCATAACAGACTAATTTAGTTCATAAAATGCACATTGGAATTTTATCATTATGACCTACAAAATCTTTACATAAATCAAATAACATTATTTTCAGGTCAAGAAGTTTTCTTACCAAACAAGTACAGAAAACTCCACGTCAAAACCTAAGCTTTGGGCGCTGCAGCGAAATTGTACAGCAAAGTGCGAACAAGGTTGTATTTCAGTAGGTGAAAGAACAAAACTCTTTGCTTGCACATATTGTTGTCACACCAACAGTTGCAACTCCATGATGGGAAAATCTCCTTCTGCCAGATCATTTCCAATGCTCACCTACTTCATATCATTGTTAATTCCCATGCATTACTTTTTACATGATAACATTTATTCAATTTTATCTTAACTATAACATCTATTTCATTCTGAAATTTGACCATTTATGGAATATTTAGTTTTGTTTATTAATGTTGGATTGCAGTGGCATGATAAGAATAAATAACGTGGGAGACTAACACTTTATTGAGCATAACCATGCTTACATTAACGAGTACAGTCTACGGGTAACTAGAACATATAGTAGTGGGGGCCAGTGGCTGCTTGATATAAATACTACAATAATTTATAATCTAACAATTACTAATGATTGACTCATAATAATATCATGGGTGATATCTAGAACAGTCGACTAACTTCCTTCAATCTAATAAAATTACTTTTCAAGAAATATCATAAATATATAAATAAAAATTTATACTATAGTTCAATATCTTCCTTTAAATATAAAATCATGTATCATGTCATTTTGTTGTCATTCATTCTATACTGAAGTTACTTTACCATAATGCTTTAAAGCAGCACTCCAATACGCTAGAATCAGAAGCAGATTGGTTTGGCCTTCAAGCGTTGACTTTTATTTTGATGTGGAACCATGCAATATTTCTTCTCATCCCAGAATAGATTGATACTCTTTAAGATGACCAACATTATAGTTATATTCTTAGGCGCAGACTTCGGGGGCAAGGGAGAGGTTGAGAGGGGATCACCTCACTTCCAATAAAAATCTCAATATTTTGAAGATGTATTGAATAACAAAATTAAAAATTGATCAGTATTAATGAATAAAATATGTAAACTAAATTCAATTAATAAAATTTTAAAAATCAACTGTTTGGCTAAGGCCTATAGGTACTAAAGTATTTTACCGCGCTCTTATGTTCCTATTATTGAAATTTTAGATTATATTCAAAGATAATTATATGTAACAACATTTCCTAGGATTTTATGATTCATTCGTCTGGTCTCTTCCATTGTTATGGGAAGATTTTATAACATTTCCTGTAGCAAATTTGAAGCATCGGAGAATTGAGAGTTCATCTCACTGCCTCAAATCTTTAAATAAAAATGTATAATGTATTCAATTGCTTTGTTAACATATTTTCAAGCATGATATATAAGTTTTTTATATATATATATCGTATTATGTTGTTATTTTTTCAATAATTATGTCGATTGTTTATATTATCACTCATAATTGTTGTAGAGAATATAAACTCCCGAAAATTATTTTGGAGGGTCCATCTTCCTCCCTTCCAGAATGGAAAGTCTGCTCCTATGCTTATATATTTCCTGCTATATGAGGAGTATATAAAACAGTTAACAATATTTTATATTCAAAGAAGGTTTTTATTCACCAGAGTCTTGGAATAACTATATTTTTACTCTTATCTATAATATCTATAATAACTAGTTAATTTCAAGAAACCTACTTCAAATTTCAAGAAGACTTAACCTACCTATCCCATCCAAAATTGTAAAAGATAAATAATGAGGATCAAAATCTAGGCCTTTTAACTGTTATTAAACTATAGCCATGATATATATGTTTTAAGCCTATGAATCTTCAAGAAACTTTACTGATTCAGAAGGCTGCAAAGCTTTTTATTTATTTCAAAGCAATATAAAATAATTACTAGTAAGTTACTAAATATTAAGTTACTAAATCATAAATATGCATTTTTGATCAAAAGTATACATCAGTTTTAAAGTATATTGTTATTATTAGTTGGAATATTTTAAAATAATAAAAACATTTAATATAAACACCAATTAATTAATTTAATCAATTAAGTTATTCAATTCATTAAAAACATATTTTTGGTCAAATAAACTACATAACTTTTTATAGAAGATAAAATAATTGAAAGGGTTACTGAATTCTGCTACCTTGGGAGTAAAGGGAGCCAGGATGGAGGGGGTCGATCAAGATGTTGGGAGCCGTATAAGGAAAGCCCAAAAAATTATTGCAGCTTTGGCCAGTGTGGAGATCCCAATAAATCAGGAGAGAGACCAAGCTTCACGTCTTCAAGACAAATGTTATGTTGGTTCTGCTTTGAGACTTGGAAAGTTACCAAGCAGGTGATCAAGAAGCTACAGACATTCGTCAATAGATGTATGAAGAATCTATTGCGAGTATGATGGAATCCTCAAGGCCAGCAAAGATGTGGACGGCATTGAGAAACGTGGTGAAGGACTTTAGAGAAGGATATGCGCAGCATCAGACAGACCTGGTTTGGAGTCAAGGAGCTAGCTGGAGATTGAAACGCATGGCAGACCTTGGTTTATGTCCCACCTAATGGATTCTAGGAACTAATAATACTAAACTATATAACGTCATCGTATAAATAAATTATTCAAAATAATCAATGTACCACACAGGTCTGAAGTACACATTATTTTTATAATTCTAAATTTACTCTATTACTATACTAAATCTATATTGTAACTTTTATTAATATTTAATGGATCCGTCTATACCTATGTATATAGCTAACGCAAGTGAAACAAGTGAAGTAGGAAGGAAAATTATGGTATCCAAATAATAATAAGTGCTGATCATATTGTACCATAAAAGATATTATTGACCAATACGGAATATGAAGTGGGCCATTGTTTCTAATTTCAGAACACGATGCCCTTAAAACATTACTTGATGATGAACATTAAATCCAGAGAGGTTGAAAAAATTCCTCCTAAAGTAGGCTGTAAAAAAAATAATGTATATGTGGACCAAAAAATATATTAAAACATAAAAGTGGTATTAAAAACCAGGTAATTTTTTCAGCGGGTTGAAAAAATGAAATGTTTTATTACCATGAAAATCAGTACGGTGAAAAAGAAGTGCCACAATGAAAATAAGAAACGTATTAACCTCTGTTAAACATTTTTTTTTGTTCTCCCCTTTCTCGTCTTTTAGGCTATACAGAATTTTAGGGGTGAGGGTGGAGAGATAATGCTGGAGTTAAAAGCTCCCCTCAGTATTTGGACGTGAGCTCGTAATTTTTATTCCTCCAAATTTTGGTTATCAGACTGCCGGGCAACATGTGGTGCAGTGCACACTCGTTAGACGCGGTACCTCCCCTCCCCCCTCCCCCGGTATCCCGTCCCAACCACTGTTAAACATGCAGCTGTCACCCCATGGTCTGAGGTAGTATGCAGAGCCGACCTTTGACATTGGTACCCCAGGCATTGACGTCATCTCTCCTTAAAAAAATTACATTTATTTCTCAAGTTGTTTTATATTATATAATATTTGAAATTTATTTAAATCACTATTTCTATAATATAGTTGCTAGTGCCTCTGATTATCGGCATCCCTCTAGGTTGCAACTGATGACATGAATTCTGATGCAGTGAGATAACTAGAATTTTTATAGGCTGTTTAATACATGAGATAAAATGTATTGATATTTTAAAAAAATTCTCAATTAGTATTGATAAATTTGAGAAAAGGGAAAATGATATTTCTCAACCAGACACTGATCCTGTAAGCCTATAAGACTTTATAATCTAAGCCAGTGGAAGACCCACTAAATATTAATACAAGATTTAATATAGTATGAGAGTAAATTTATAATTATAATAATGAAGTATACAAATACTTTTAACTGAAAATATTTATTGATTATTTTGAATATTATATTTTATAATGCAGAATGTTATGCAGTTTAATGATCAAAATAAAGTTTTATATTTAAATTGTTATTGTTAATATTAAATGGTTTACTAAGTTTAATTACCTCCTGCTAATAATTGTGATATATTAGAGTATATATCTCCATCTCTGTACATTATTCTAAAGGGACTTGTCCCAGGATAAATAAAGCATTATTATTATTATTAATATTGTATTTTATTTTAAATGTTTTGTAACTAATGTACGAATACTTTTGACTCGGGCTATGTGATTTGCTTTTATAAACATTAAATGAAAAACAGTTATGATTAGATAAGTACAATGAGGGAGTTACACATTCTATTTAATATTCAAAATCTCAAATTAGATGATGGTTCTAATAACATCACTTTCTCTTTCATTTTTGAACTATTCTCCATTATTTATAAGCCACTATAATTTAAAAAAATTGTTTAGCCCTTTATTTCCATTGTCAGATGGTAAAGTCCCCACAGATCATGAAACATTTTTCTGAAAATTCCTTCATCACTCCAAATTTCATGTTTCTTTTTATCTTTCAGTTTTTTTAATAACCACCAAAAAGAAGCCACTGATTTTTTTTCTTTCAAAAAGTTCTGTGTAAGTTTCATTTCAGAGAAACTGATCAGACATTTTTATTCCAATTCATATTAAATATAGTTCTATAATATTTTGGGACAGTTGATTGATATCGTAAGTTATTTCAGTGTTTAAGTTCACCTATTAATACCCTGGAATTTTATTTTCTTCTGTTATATTGATTAGAATGAAAGTTTTCTTTAATTGTAAAGATAATATGTAAACATTTATTCTTAAGCACTGCTTTTTCTGAATTTTTCTCTAGAATAACAGTATTACCAATTTAGCTTGATAGTTGATGAGATTCTAAAGTATTAAATTCTGACTAGTATTCATTCTACTGCTGTAAAATAAAATTTAATATAATTATTAAATTTCACATTATAAAATTTGAGCTTTAAAGTAACCAAAAAACTATTTTAACATTTCATATTACCTTGTGAAATAAAGTTACATTTTATAGTTCTATGACTGAAACAACTTTAGTGGCTTATTGGTTAGTAATAGTGATAGTTAATAGAAATTTATAATTAATATTTCTGCATCTAAGTAATTTAATTGTTAACATATTCCTTTGACTCTCATCACTAAAATTTTATTTAAAAAAAAAAAAACCCATGGTCATTAAGAAGTGTCTAGTGAAAAACTTTCCATCTCTTAGTAATTAGAAGATAATGCACCAACAGTTTATATAAATCTCTTAGAAAATAATTCTTGTCCTTAACAGAAAATCCAATTCTTCAACTAGATAAATACTTGAATACACTAAATATCTTGAATGTTACATTTGTCACTAAAATAATAGAACAATCAAAAAGATAAATATCAGATAGATACTATAATATATAGCTAATGTATCTAGGAAGATTTATAAGATGATAAAAGTAGTCAGAAGAACTCGAGATGTTCTTTCAAATGTAAATAAGAAAAATAACACATATATATTCTTATATATTTTTGTATGCTAATATATTTCCTAAATGTCTTAAGAATGTATCATGAAATCTAGGTATGTTATTTTTATTCTTTCATCTTAGAATGTCACGTATTTTATATTATCAAACTATGTATTATTTATGAATTTTGGTAATAAATAAGATGTTAAACATTAAACCCATATATGTATCTTATTTTATTGCATGAAATATCAGTTCTCATGGCAGCATTAAGAAAAATAAGTCAAATACAAAAATTAAATAATCTTAATAAATATGCCTTAAACATTTTTATTGAGTTTTTCCAAACCTTACAATTCTAGTAGAAATTCATATTGTAATACTTTTCATCTCCCTCTCCCTCCTCAAAAGAATTTAATTTATTTGTTTTATATTAATATTAAGTAAGTTTTGAATTTTATTTCATTCAATATGTATTCAATTCAGTAGCTTCCTTAATAGGCTAAAATTATTCATTCTCATATGCTTTTTATTTATTTATTTTTAATTTCTATCAGAGCAAGGTGCCACCACACTGGAGCCCCTCTAGGTAATGCCTGGTTGCTGGGCCATAAGGCTGGCACTCTTTTTTGTATGAGACACAATGGGTTAACTAAGGAAGACGGAGGGAGCTCCAATAGTCCTTGTTACATACCCCTTTTTATCAAATTATTAACATCCGGCGGAAACTTCCTAAAATGTTGAGGGCTTCGTAAATCTCATCGTAATCTACAAATATTTTATTTACAGAGTTCTCGGAATTGGGGTTTTCAATCTGGAGGTCAGCATACTTTGTCTATTTAATTTGGTATTAAAAACTTGTAAATACCCATTTGCTTTCTACTTGGATCCTAAAATAATTTCATCACAAAACAGATAAAAAAAAGTGGTCTGCAAAAATATTGGTGTATATAACCTCATTATTTTGACAGTTTGGGGGTGTAGGGCAACTGCTCAATATTTTGGAAAGCCACCTTTTTTCTTGACTTCAAGTTATCTTACGATTCAAGTGGAAAGCAAATGGGTATTTATGAGTTTTTATTACCTAATTAAATAGACTAATTTTGCCGATCTACACATTGAAAACATCCGAATTCTGAGACTTTTCGTAAATAAAATATTTGTAAGTTACCACAAGATAAAGCTATTTACAAAGTTTCAGCCGTATGTTAATAATTTGATTAAAAGCGCTCTGTACCATGGACTACAATGCAAGGCATCTTTCATATGAGCTCCTTCCCCTTGTAGAACAAATAAATAATTTTGTCCTTATTACTTAGGCAAAACGCTCTCTCTTAAACATCCCAATCAGAGTGTAATTTACCTTACAATCAATAAATAAATAATATTTGAAAGTATGTTTTTTCTTTTGAAAAATTTAAGCATTGTTTTCCCCACTGAATCTGTGTCTGAATATGCAACATCAGTTGCTTAGATGTTATTTATGTCAGAAGGGACATAAAATTAATATCAAAATAGACTGGTAGACTTAGATCAAATTCATAAAAGTAACTATTAAATATCAACACTGGAAACATTGATTTCCTCTTGTATTTATTCTGAATGTTGTAAAGAAAAAATGGATGTTACAAAAAAACAAAAACAAACACTAATTTACAAAATCATTATAATTCTAATAATAACTGGAAAAATTTCAACAAAATTAATAACTTTTGCTTACGTCCAGGATTTCATTTATGTTCTAATATCATACAAGTACATCATATCGTCATCAGTAAAATACATTATTGAACTTTCATTAACAATACCATTATGGAATAATAAAAAAAGATGAAAAACAATATTAATATAAATTAATCTTAACTATGGAAATGAGCATAAAATTAACCTTCTTATTTAATAAATATAAATTACTTTCGGTAGCTCCTTTATATTTAGTTGTACAGATCAGGATTTCAGAATCAGATACTCCCTCAACAAATCAAGTTTACCATTCTGTTGTTGGTCTCTTGTCTAACCAGGCTTTTATGTTAGGTATAGCATGAATTTTTTCCCTAAAGGCTCCAATATTTGGGTACTCCTTCACAATGTCCAATTGCAGCATAAAACTAAAGTAACCAATCACAGCTGCAAAGTATAAGTCGGCCCAGGAAAGCTAAAAAATTTAGTTTTTAAGTCACCACAGTTCAGTATTTAATAATTCAGTAATACATTTATTTATTCATAATTGTTCATGTATTTTACAGGAGTGGGGCCTTACATCATGCATAGAGGTGTATGTGTGTGTGTAGTGGCATTTAAGAGTTTACATACTTCGTTTAACTATGTTGATAAATCTGAACACACAATATTGAGGCATATAATATGGGCTTTGGGATGGTTGAACCATCAAAATATTATACATAAATTGTGTTATGAAATTGAGTCATAGTCATACTTTGCATGTTGGGATGGGGTAAATGATGGGAGTGTCTAATAAGGAGAGGATACAGTCAAGGTGTGAGTCACCTATTTCAACCAATTTTTTTTTGGTAACATTGAAAAATTTTAAACCTAAGTCCCAGTGTTCTTTCCAATGGGCCCTATGAGCCAAGAAAAAATAAGTTATATAATTTCAAACAAAATTTATGTTGTTTATTTTTGCTTTGCCTGGATTTTTAGGTTACTATATATTAATCATTTTCTTTTTTTATAAAGAATTTACTCATACATTGCTTGTCCTAGGTCCAAATTGTGCCCATACCTGTAGCTATCTGCCGCATAAAATATTAATTAAAAACCTGCCTGCTATCTAGAGTAAATAATTTTCTAGGGAGGAACAACGTTGATATTCGTTTTTCGCACCTCACAAAATTCTTAAATAGGAATATTCATATCAATCGAAAAATTACATTTTTCTACATGAAATTTTTGCCTAGGCTTGAACCTCCGAGATTTCGTCAATAACCACAAAACTTGTGATAACTTTAAGCCAGCTTTACCGATCCATACATGAAGAGGGATTTGCGCCTCGGTATGCTACACGAAATGGTACAGACCCGATCGTCATGAACAAATAAAAGCTGATAGAAAACAAAAATGGGTCATAAGTCTTTCTTTATTTCTAGCTTTAAAAAAAAAAAAATCCAAAAGTTATTGGTGTCAGTTGGAAGACTGCTCTTCACCAATTCAGCTTTCCAACGGTTATATTAAAGTTGAATTTGAAGAAAATCATGAGGAATTATAAATACTTTAGTTGGCGACCGGGAAAAAAACTCATCCAAGAAAGAACACCAAGTACTAAAGGTAGTATTTTTTTATTTATATAAAAATTCGTATTTCAGAGTTTTAAAGGCGCATAAAAAGTAATCTAATTTGCTTTTTCATAATACAAATTTACATGGTCTACTTTACTGGACGCACCTTTTGGTTTTTGTAAATTATGACACATTATAACTCACTTAATAGAATAGTTAACATTTGTTTCTTATTCTGCACAAAAAACAAAACGGTTGATATAAAGTAGGCTAGAAATCCGGGCAAAGTAAAGGCAAAATAAATAACATGAATTTCGGAGATAATTGTTTTAGTGGGGAGGATGATGACGTTATTGCCCGAGGGCCGCGTCATGTCTGAAGCCGACACTGTTCGGTAGAGTAGAATCATGCTTGAAATTAAATTAACTCGCCACTGCTTTTGCATATCTACAGTTGGATTTCAAACATGAATAAGATGACGCTGATTATTATTAGTCCTTCATACTTTTTTATAGACTCCATAATTTGGAAAGCCAATGGTAAATTAACATACAGCCATAATTCATTATTAAGATAACATCAAAATTTGTCTTATCGATCCGATATAAAACTTATTTTTTCCTTACACCTGAATAAACCTGCCTTGCTTAGGAACTGCCTATTCTTCCAGCTCAATATATTTTAGCTCCCATTCCTGATGGGCTGTCATAACTAGTGAAAGCGCATTTCATTCCCTGTAATGAGCAGTATGGACCAAGATGTTCTATGGTCATAACAGAGGATTGGTCGAGTTATTTGTTACACCGATGTCGTAAAGGCGTCTTAGGAGGAGGTCATGTCCAGTAAGAATATCAAAGCAAGTGACGCATTGTCCCGTTAGGAAATTCGTTTTCCTAGCCCACTGCAGCGTAAAATGGATTAACGCCCGTGCAAAAAGCGCTTTTTCCGAATATATGATAAAGTGAAGATTATGAGTTCAGGTCCCGGGCCGAGGACTTTTAAACTTTGACATTAATCTCCCATCTTCTTCCCTGACCCGGGAAAACTCGGTATGACCGAAAAGGCGAAATAGGGGAGGAAAAAAAAGAGTAGACTCTATTTTTTCTCGCCTACTCCAACGTTCTTCATACTGCTTCTATTATTGCTCCTTAGAGGGTTTCTTTCATCATTCTTTTAACCAATTCATTGGCAAGAGGAAGATCCGGTTGTTCCTTATTCCGTATCAGTAGTGGTGGGTGAACTAGTCCGGCAAGTGCGCCCTACCGTAGTCCTTTTACGTACCCCTGACGGCTACCTTGAGATTTTACTTACCAGAGTGGGAACGTCCAGATTCATTTTCCGGTGCCGTCAAGAAATGAAAATTTACCGATCTAGATGGGAATTAAACCCAAAGTGTACAGATCCAGGCAGTCTGATTGTTACCCACGCCCCAACGTGTTTGGCCATCGCCTCCGACCTTAGCTAGCCAGTTTATCGGACATATGGTTCCAGTAGGAACGCAGTGGCCTGGTACTCACTGGAAACCGATCACCAATCCATTTTTTGTTAACTGTTCTGAACATATCTTGCACGTAAGAATATATGCATTCACATTAAATAAGTTTTGGAAGGACATAAGTTCCGTTTGTGAAACAACAAATAAAGCGTGTCTTTAGGCCGGTCATTATACTAATGACCTGTTATTTCGGAAACCTCTGGGATTTCCTATACCTTGGGATTCCACAGATCAGGTTATTTAATATGAAATAAATTTAGAATTTATTCGATAGGTACTTAATGCCAATCATGTTCAAGGTCAAGAAAATGAGCATTTCCATTTAAAATTTTGCTGTAATAGTAACCTCAAAATGTATTATTCTTTTTTCCTCCATTCATGAATTCGTTTTGGTGAAGAGAGAGATAAAATTAAATCTAGCTACTTCAACTTTATCAAAGACAAAAAAAAAAATATCAAAATTGAAATTAAAGATTAGAGATAAGACATATAAAAGCAAGTTACTTACAATTATTACAAGGATCCTATTGATAAACCGACCGGTATTGCGATAACAAACGTCATCCATCTTCTTCCGTATTTTAACACATCTTGAACATCAGAAATTCCGATTTAAATAAATATAATATCCGAAATTAAACTTCTCTAATCTGACATTTTAAATTAATTTTATTTATTTATTTAATAGCACTGAGCTTCCAATGCAAAGGTCCCGAGTTCGAATCCCGGCTCATGGCAGGAAATTTATTTATCTGTTTCATTGGCCGTGGGGCGACCTTGGGTCAGAAGTCCCTCCTGGGGCACACCCAGCCTCTATAAAGTGGGTACCCTTAATTAAATAATTAATTAAGGGGGAAAACCTGGCGGTTGAGCGTGATCTCGGTCAAATCACCTCCTTGCACAACCGTTGACCTAGAAACAGTGCTTTCCCTAAATAGTACTGAACCCCAGATCCTTCATGGGTTGTAGTGGTACAGGTTTTTTTTTTTTTTTTTTTTTATTTATTTAATAAGGACGATTTATGAAACATATCAACCCACAAAATGACAAAAATCAAACTAAATATATCAGTCGACTAGTATATTTGTGGCCCCGGGCTATAATGATTGAGACTACTACTCAGATTAGTACTTGGCTGTTCCCAATGTAAATTTAAATATACTGGCACATTAGGTTACCGTTTCATTCGTAATTGTTGATATTAAAAAAAAATTTTTTTTATTTACCCATGTAGTCTTTTTTTACTTTTTTTTAATCGTACATATCCCAATGCTTCAACAAGCATTTTTCAGTTAACAACAATCTTTATGAGAAAATTGTAGCAGGATGACTTAAAGAGTACCTTGAAATATAACCTAACATCTGCAAACATAGTTGGTGTCATGTAGTTCTTCACGTTGTAAGTAGTTATTTTGGCAAAAAAAAAATTAAATAAAACAGCATATTAGCGATATTGGTAAATTTTAAGACGTCATTTGATACAATTATAATAAAGAAACCAGTAACTAAAGTTGCTATTAAATATTAGGAGTATGGTATAAAAAAAAATTGCCGCAACATAGCAACTCATAGAACATTAGCATTATCTGTATGTTTGTTAATTTTGAGACTAAAAAAAAACTATTATATTTTATTACATACGTTGGTTCGTATTAGTTGTCTTTCAAGTTACATACTTAATTAATTTTATTAATATAGAAAGCTAATGTCAAAATACAAAACTTATGTTCAAAATATAAAAGCAATAAGATAACTAAAGATTTGATAATGGAATAATATGAATAAAATGTATAATTGCAGATAAGAATTTAAATAAGAGCGGATTTTGAATATTTTTTCAGTTGTATAATTTAATCGAGTTTAGTAGATTAAATATTTTTTTTAAATCAATTTAAATACATATTAAACAATAAAATAGATAATGGAATCGCCCGAAATCAGTAAACTGACCTACGCCAAATTAAATTCGATAAAATACAAATTTATAAAAATACAGGACTTATTCGTTCTACAAACACAATATTTACCTTTCCGTTTGCCAGGTATCCTTGTTCCTCAAACAGCTTGTCAAACTTTCCTAAATAAAGTGGTACCGTTTTTTTGAAGAGCATCCCTTTTAAATGTTCTTTGTTATTTTCATCTTTATTGTAGAAGTAAGCCCATACAGCTGTAACACATAGTTTATAATTAATATTGAGATTTTATCATGGAATCTATAAAGCAAAGCCTCAAGTCACTCAAATCAAATATTTGCATAATCAAGTAATTTTATGATGATATGCGATATGAAAAACACACACATATATATCTATTATGATTTGCCTCTAATATTGACCCAGCGATCTGATGGAACATTGATTGGTCAGTAATTAACATTGGTTGGATATTTATAATTAGAGTTTTTTTTCGTTTTCTATATAGAGACATTTATACTAATATCAAATTACCAGTTCCTAAGAATTGAGAAGAAAACCGCTGTCTATTTTTTGTCATTCAGCATTGTAGATGTTGTTTTACTAATGATCAGTGACAAGTTTTCGTAACGGAACATTAACATTTAAGTTATACCGTATAATATTGGATCATTAATTATCTCGAGGTATATATCTTTAATTGTGTGCAGTAAGTATTTTTCAACGAAATTACTCTGTGAGTTGATTAATCATAATTGCCGTAACTGTCGACAAGAGACAGAACCACAGTAGAGATGGACGTTTGTATTATTTTTAATAAACGATAACAGTTTAATGATTAAACTTTAATCATTGAGGAAAAACAACTGTTAAACACTTCAAAATATTTAAGTTGGGCGTTATATTATGTTATATTCTTTTATAACATGCTGATACTTTTATTTACTTTTTATGATAATTTAATTTGTATGTATTATTATCTTGTTCATATATAAGTTTGATATTAAAACAGATTTAATTTAAATTTAAGATTGATCTTAGTTAGATTTAATTAATTATTTGTTTGCCCTAATTTAAAATAGATTAAATTATTCATATAACTCTGTAAGTTAATGATTATTTTAGTCATCTATTTCCTTTTCAATTGAACAATGTAATGCCTGATAAAAACTTCAAACAAAACTGGTATATATTATTTTTATTGAGTATGAATAGTTATTGTACATAGGTGTGAATGTGTTTTATTATCATTCGGCTTTAATCTGTTATCTTATTTATCTTGTATATTACTTTATCTTTTATATATATATATATATATATATATATATATATATATATATATATATATATATATATAAATATATTCCTACTTTGGTTATTTATATTTATTTTGCTTTCTTATGTACATATTATGTGAATGAATAATATATCCTCAGTACCCTTCAGTGTGGCAGATTGTATTCATACACAATAAAACCATTTAAAAAAGTATATAGTTATATTAGAAAAGTGTATAGTTATATGCCTAATCTAAATGATTATGATAACTCCAGAGATGGAAACAGATAAGATTTGTGGAAAGATCAATATTTCCGACCGTCTTATCGCGATTAGTTTAGTATAACACTACAGTACTTTAAAATATATATAAAAATAATTCTATACATTTTTTTTTTATAAAATTAACGGTAACGGAGATATTTATGAAATTATATTTATTGTATTTCCACTTTAAGCAAAAATTGCTTCAAACCACAAAATTGATGTTGTCCATAGTAGAAGATACCTTTTTGAAGTTTAACTAATTTTTTAACATTTTCGATCCTTCAAATTATTATTCACAGTTTCTTTCTTTTAATGATTTTAAAAAGCTATTGACAACAGAATTACATTCGATATCAATCAATAAGAATTTTCGTGATGACATGAAGTTTAGATTAACATTAATTTCATATAATTGATAATATGTGATAGAAAACATTAAAACTTATAAAAAATTACCAGAAACCGTAGTCTGATTACACACAGAGAAGTAAACAATTTAAATTTTGTAATTTTTAAGCCATTTTTATAATGAATAAAAAAAATAACTACAAAAATGTTTCATTTAGGTTAAAACCCATTATTTCATAGTAAACTATATTAAATCTACATAAAATTAAAGTAAATCTTGTTTATTTTAAAAGAATTTACATATGGCATATTGCTATGTTCCTGGCCTCGCGTTTCTACGGCGAGTAAGGGGTTCCAGGAACCGCATTTATTTGTATTTATATGTATTTATATCGGTCCCAGAAGGGAACCGATCAATTTAAAATATATTAATGATGTATTTAAATGTTAGATACCACAGACCCCCTACTGTAGTATCCTAGATTGAACCATATACTCTTTATTGGATTTCCTTTCTAAAGGTATCATGTTTATAAATGTACTATTTGTTTCTATTACTAATTGGTGGCATGCAAGGTAGAATGTAAAAGTACTACGTTGGTTTACTAACTATTATATTTACAAGCTTAAATAAAACCAAAAATATCTATATACAAAATAATAACTAAACCTATATACATAATGAATAGTTAAGAATCATACTAGAGGAGAATGCTTGATGTATTGATTTCATTAATTAATGATGTATGGTTGCCAACACAAATTTACATTATTATAACTAAATGCTTGTTACCACTTAGCTGGTCCTTCATAGTGTTTCTAGCTGTCATATCTGGATTCCCTGTCTCTGCTCTCCTTCAGCGTCTAGTCCGTCCATCTGCTCTCTCCGGCTGTCTTCATCTTCCTCCCTCGACTCCCTCGCTTCTCCTCTCCGAGTCCCCAGAAGAAGTCCTCTCCTCTCCGAGTTCCAAAAAGAAGTTTTTTTTTTTTTTTTTTTTTTTTTTTTTTTTTTTTTTTTTTTTTTTTTTTTTTTTTTTCTGACCCCCCAGAAACTTTATTTAACACTACTTACAACATACATCTATGAATGTATATATACATTATTGCTTGACCTTTGCTTACCCAAGGGTATTTTAAGGTAAATGACAGTTTATGCCGTAAGCATAGGATACTTTCTGTGGCCTTAGGCCTTAATTTCATCACCGGGCGTGGAGGGACCGCCCTGCTTTTTTCATAAAGGATAGGGATGAGGATATATTTACATATTTACAATTATATATATACACTATGTACAAATGTGAGGATTCAGACTGCCGCGTCCAGACCCCCTCCTTCGTCAAAGACATCTACCAGGGGGACTTTGCCTTGCCACCTTCCAGGCCTGGGCGGTGGGGCGATTTCTTGGAATAATGGATTTGCACAGGCCTTAAGGCCATCAAAAAATTTGATGTGCCTCCGGCCAATGAATTCCGGGACCGAGGGTAGTTGGAGCTCCTGGTAGATGTCTCTGTTCCTGGATCGCTGAAGATGGGTACCTCTGACTATTCGCCGAAGGACGGAGTTTTGGAATCCCTGCAGTCTCTGGAGTGTCGTCCGGTAAAGGTGCCGGAGAAGCGGTGCACCATAGAGCAGCGTAGGTCTGATGACCGCCTTGTATATCTGCAGTTTTAGTCTCAGCGAGAGCTGCGGCGACTTCAGCAGGTGGTAGAGCCTATGTGACTTTTGTTTTGCCAGCTTGAGTCTTTGTTTGACATGACTGGAGAATGTTAGGTGTCTATCCAATGTCACGCCGAGATAGACTACTGAGTTGGAGATCCGCTGGTCCACACTACCGATGGTGAAGTGAGTGGGTAGTGGCTTTTTCCCTTGCTGGAACGACATCACGATAGCGTCAGTCTTCATGGGGTTCACTCTGATGCCATTTTTCTCTAGCTCTCCGACGATGGCTTCTGTGGCTTTTTCTGCATGCTTGAGGGCTCTCTTTGCATTAGTGCTCGATGCATAGATCCCGATATCGTCAGCATAGGCTGCTACCACTGCGTTTGGGTGTTTGAGTGCCACTACTGGCGCCGTAAAAACGACGAACAGTATTGGTCCCAACACAGACCCTTGAGGTACTCCACAGGTGGTATCGACTGGGTTAGAGTAGTCGTCACCAACTCGTACGACGAGAGATCTTCCGCTAAGATAGCTTCTGATCAGTCGGCATAGAGGGGCTGGGAACTTGTACTCTTCCAGCCGTCGGAGTAACAGCGCGTGAGACACGCAGTCAAAGGCCTGACTGCAGTCCAGTGAGATGAGTGCCGTAGCTCTGTTGTGATTCATCTGCTCTATGGTGTGTGCCTGAAGTTTCGCCAGGTGGTGTTCGCAGGCGACACCTTGTTGGAAACCTGTCTGCTCTGGTGGTATAATGTTCTTCTCCCTACAGTGTTTTATGAGATGGTAGTGAATCAAGCGCTCGAAGATCTTGCTGATGTGCGAGAGGAGGCTGATTGGGCGATAGTGCTCAGCCGCGTCTCCTTTCTTCCCCGGCTTTAGTAGGGGTACTACGATTGCTTGTTTCCAGGCTGTGGGAAAGTACGAGATTCGCAGGCTTGAGTTGAAGATGTTCAGGAGGAAGGCTTTACCCTTCCTTGGGAGCATCTTTAGTAGCACATACGGTATCTCGTCCTGTCCTGACGCTTTGTTTCCCTTAGTGCGCCGTAGTACCGACTCAAGCTGGTTAATACTGGAGAAAACGGGCTTCTCGATGAGACTGGGAGATGGTCCATCCTGTACAGGAGGGGCACTTCTCGTCCGCTCTGCGTCACCCGCTGCATAGCTTTTCGACAGTAGTTCAGCCTGTTCCCCGGGTGTTAGCAGCGCGTCACCTTCTGTCAGATGCACACTTCTCTTCTTGCTGACGAAAGTCCTGATGAGTCTCCAGAACTGGCGGTGATCATCGTGTGTCCTCCGTAGCTGATCATGCCATAGAGAAGTTTTCCAGTCACGCATGAGGCTAGCTATCTGCCGGGTCATCGCATTGATGGCCGGCTTCAGACTATAATCGCGGGTGCGCTGGAAGATGTTTCTGATGTTGTTCCGTTGGCTTATCAGTGCAAGAATGTGCCGCGGTGGTCTTCTGATGGAGTTGGGCTGTGGGGCGAACCTGGGGATATTACGATTGGCTGAATCCTGGATGGTTGTGGTGATGACTTTCACAGCACTGTCCACCTCATCTCGAGTCCTGCACGGTGTAATAGCTGGTAGTGTGTTCTCAACGCAAGATCTGTATTCTTTCCAGTTTGCCTTGTTTAGTAGATACTTGCTCGCCGGCGGTGTGGCTGGCATGCCCTCGAAAGTGTAGAGCACAGGCCGGTGA